GTCTTCATTTCTTTTCATTCTTGTTTCTTTGTTCTTTTCTGCAGCAGTGAATTCCACCATTGTGTCTTTCAGGTCACTTATCCGTTTTTCTGCCTCAGTTATTCTGCTCTTGATTCCTTCTAGTGTAGTTTTCATTTCAGTTATTGTACTATTCATCTCTGTTTGTTTGTTCTTTAATTCTTCTAGGTCTTTGTTAAACATGTCTTGCATCTTCTCCATCTTTGCCTCCATTCTTTTTAAAGGGTCCTGGATCATCTTCACTATCATTATTCTGAATTATTCTTCTGGAAAGTTGCCTATCTCCACTACATTTAGTTGTTTTTCTGGGGTTTTATCTTGTTCCTTCATCTGGTACATAGCCCTCTGTCTTTTCATCTTGTCTATCTTTCTGTGAATGTGGTTTTTGTTCCACAGGCTGCAAGATTGTAGTTCTTCTTGATTCTGCTGTCTGCCCTCTCAAGAATGCAAGAGTTTTCTGTGCATTAATTTTGTATCCTGCTATTTTACCAAATTCATTGATTAGCTCTAGTAGTTTTGGGGTAGCATCCTTAGGATTCTCTGTGTATAGTATCATGTCATCTGCAAACAGTGACAGCTTTACTTCTTTTCTGATTTTGATTCCTTTTCTTCCCTGATTGCTGTGGCTAAAACTTCCAAAACTATGTTGAATAATAATGGTGAGAGAGGACCACCTTCTCTTATTCCTGATCTTAGTGGAAATGGTTTCAGTTTTTCACCACTGAGAATGACGTTGGCTGTGGGTTTGTCATATATGGCCTTTATTATGTTGAGGTAAGTTCCCTCTATGCCTAATTTCTGGAGGGTTTTTATCATAAATGGGTGTTGAGTTTGTCAAAAGCTCTTTCTGCATCTATTGAGATGATCATATGGTTTTTCTCCTTCACTTTGTTAACATGGTGTATCACATTGATTGATTTGTATATACTGAGGAATCCTTGCATTCCTGGGATAAAACCCATGTGAGCATATTGTATGATCCTTTTAATGTGCTGTTGGATTCTGTTTGCTAGAATTTTGTTGAGAATTTTTGCATCTATGTTCATCAGTGATATTGGCCTGTACTTTTCTTTCTTTGTGACATCTTTGTCTGGTTTTGGTATCAGGGTGATGGTGGCCTCGTAGAATGAGTTTGGGAGTGTTCCTCCCTCTGCTATATTTTGGAAGAGTTTAAGAAGGATAGGTATTAGCTCTTCTCTAAATATTTGATAGAATTTGCCTGTGAAACCATCTGGTCCTGGGCTTTTGTTTTTAGGAAGATTTTTAATCACAGTCTCAATTTCAGTTCTCATGATTGGTCTATTTATATTTTCTATTTATTCCTGGTTCAGTCTTGGAAGGTTGTGCTTCTCTAAGAATTTGTCCATTTCTTTCAGGTTGTCCATTTTTTTGGCATATAGTTGCTTGTAGTAATCTCTCATGATCCTTTGTATTTCTGAAGTGTCAGTTGTTACTTTTCCTTTTTCATTCCTAATTCTATTGATTTGAGTCTTCTCCCTTTTTTTCTTGATGAGTCTGGCTAATGGTTTACCAATTTCGTTTATCTTCTCAAAGAACCAGCTTTAAGTTTTATTGATATTTGCTATTGTTTCCTTCATTTCTTTTTCATTTATTTCTGATCTGATATTTATGATTTCTTTCTCTCTGCTAACTTTGTGGGGGGGTTTTGTTGTTGTTTTTCTTTTATCTCTAATTGCTTTAGGTGTAAGGTTAGGTTGTTTATTTGAGATGTTTCTTGTTTCTTGAGGTAGGATTGTACTGCTGTAAACTTCCGTCTTAGAACTGCTTTTGCTGCATCCCATAGATTTTGGGTTGTCACGTTTTCATTGTCATTTGTTTCTAGGTATTTTTTTATTTCCTCTTGAATTTCTTCAGTGATCTCTTGGTTATTTAGTAGTGTACTGTTTAGCCTCCATGTGTTTGTATGTTTTACAGATTTTTACCTGTAATTAATACCTAGTCTCTTAGCGTTGTGGTCGGAAAAGTTACTTGATGCAATTTCAATTACCTTAAATTTACCAAAGCTTGATTTGTGACCCAAGATATGATCTATCATGGAGAGTGTTCCATGAGCACTTGAGAAGAAAGTGTATTCTGTTGTTTTGGGGTGGAATGTCCTATAAATATCAATTAAGTCCATCTTGTTTAATGTATCATTTAAAGCTTGTGTTTCCTTATTTATTTTCATTATGGATGATCTGTCCATTGGTGAAAGTGGGGTGTTAAAGTCCCCTACTATGATTGTGTTACTGTCGTTTTCTCCTTTTATGGCTGTTAACATTTGCCTAATGTATTGAGGTGCTCCTATGTTGGGTGCATAAATATTTACAATTGTTATATCTTCTTGGATTGATCCGTTGATCATTATGAGTGTCCTTCTTTGTCTCTTGTAATAGTCTTTATTTGAAAGTCTATTTTGTCTGATATGAGAATTGCTAACCAGCTTTCTTTTGACTTCCATTTGCATGGAAGATCTTTTTCCATCTCCTCACTTTCCGTCTGTATGTGTCCCTAGGTCTGAAGTGGGGCTCTTGTAGACAGCATATATGTGGGTCTTGTTTTTCTATCCATTCAGCCAGTCTATGTATTTTGGTGGGAGTATTTAATCCATTTATATTTAAGGTAGTTATCAATATGTATGTTCCTATTACCATTTTCTAAATTATTTTGGGTTTGTTTTGTAGGTCTTTTCCTTGTCTTCTGTTTCCTGTATAGAGAAGTTCCTTTAGCATTTGTTGTAAAGCTGGTTTCGTGATGCTGAATTCTCTTAGCTTTTGCTTGTCTGTAAAGGTTTTAATTTCTCTGTCGAATCTGAATGAGATCCTTGCTGGGTAGAGTAATCTTGGTTGTAGGTTTTTCTCTTTCAAAACTTTAAATATGTCCTGCCCCTCCCTTCTGGCTTGCAGAGTTTCTTCTGAAAGATCAGCTGTTAACCTTATGGGGATGCCCTTGTATGCTATTTGTTGCTTTTCCCTTGCTGCCTTTAATATGTTTTCTCTGTATTTAATTTTTGATAGTTTGATTAATATGTGTCTTGGCCTGTTTCTCCTTGGATTTATCCTGTATGGGACTCTCTGCCCTTCCTGGAATTGATTGACTATTTCCTTTCCCATATTAGGGAAGTTTTCAACTATAATCTCTTCAAATATTTTCTCAGTTCCTTTTTTTTTTTCTCTTCTTCTCTGGGACCCCTATAATTTGAATGTTGGTGTGTTTAATGTTTGCCCAGAGGTCTCTGAGACTGTCCTCAATTCTTTTCATTCTTTTTTCTTTATTCTGCTCTGTGGTAGTTATTTCTACCCTTTTATCTTCCAGGTTACTTATCCGTTCTTCTGCCTCAGTTATTCTGCTATTGATTCCTTCAAAAGAATTTTTAATTTCATTTATTTTGTTGGTCATCATTGTTTGTTTGCTCTTTAGTTCGTCTAGGTCTTTCTTAAATGTTTCTTGTATTTTCTCCATTCTATTTCCAAGATTTTGTATCATCTTTACACTCATTACTCTGAATTCTTTTTCAGGTAGACTGCCTATTTCTTCTTCATTTGTTTGGTCTGGTCATTTTTACCTTGCTCCTTCATCTGCTTTTTGTTTCTCTGTCTTCTCATTTTGCTTCACTTACTGTGTTTGGGGTCTCCTTTTCACAGGCTGCAGGTTCGTAGTTCCCATTGCTTTTGGTGTCTACCCCCAGTGGCTAAGGTTGGTTCAATGAGTTGTGTAGGCTTCCTGGTGGAGGGGACTTGTGCCTGTGTTTTGGTCAGTGAGGCTGAATCTTGTCTTTCTGGTGGGAAAGACCATGTCTGGTGGTTTTTTTCGAGTGTCTGTGACCTTATTTTGATTTTAGGCAGCCTCCCTGCTAGTGGGTGGGGTTGTGTTCCTGTCTTGTGAGTTGTTTGGCATAGGGTGTCCAGCACTGTAGCTTGCTGGTCATTGAGTGGAGCTGGGTCTTAACATTGAGATGGTACTTTCTGGGAGAGCATTTGCCATTTGTTATTACATGGAGCTGGGAGGTCTCTGGTGGACCAATGTCGTGAACTCCGTTCTCCCACCTCAGAGGCATAGGGCCTGACACCCGGATGGAGCACCAAAACCCTGTGAGCCACAATTTTGGGAAGGCTGAGGTCTTCTGCCAGCTTTCAGTAGGTGTTCTGTAGGAGTTGTTCCACATGTAGTTGTTTTTCTGATGTATTTGTGGGGAGGAAGGTGATCTCCACGTCTTACTCCTCCGCCATCTTGAAGGTCTCAGTCCTGTTGACTTTTTTTTATTCAAAATATAAAATTTATTCAAAAGCAATAAAATAACAGTTTCTATGAAGCATAAACTGTACATAATAAGTAAACACATCACAGTACCAAACCTGTTGACTTTTTAATGATGGCCATTCTGACTGGTGTGAGGTGATACCTCACTGTAGTTTTTATTTGCATTTCTCTAATAATTAGCCATATTGAGCATCTTTTCACGTGTCTGTTGGCCATTTTTTACATAACTTATGTTAGTAGCCCTAAAGAAAATAGTCTTAGAAGTAGATTTGCTGGGTCAAAGTTTATGTGCATTTTAAATTACATATATATTTCCAAATCACCATTCAAGGAAGTGTCTCAAATTTGCATTCTCACTGAGAGAATATCAGGGTGCCTCTTAATCCACAACCCCATCAGTATTATCTGCCTTTTTAAGCTTTGCCAGTCTGATGGGTGTTTTTATTTGTATATACTTAATTAGTAACAAAGATAATATCTTTATATATTTATTGGCTATTTGAAGTTTTTAGTGATTCATACCCTTTTCACTTTTCTGTTGGATATTTTTGTGCATTGAAAGCTATTTGTGGATTCAGGTCACTAACTTTTCCTGTCATATGTGTTTCAATATATTTTCCTTGATTGAGATATGACTTTTATTATTTGTTTATATTATTTTTTGTTCCTTTCTGAATATGTTAGAAGTAGGAACTTCTATTGACTTTTTGTTTTTTCCTCAGTTCCAGTGTCTCGCCCTATCCTCACCCTCAGAGCCCCCAGGGCTCAGGCTGTGGTGGGGGATGTGGTGGAGCTTCACTGTGAGTCCCAGAGAGGCTCCCCCCCGATCCTGTACCAGTTTTATCACAAGAATGTCACCCTAGAGAGCAGTATGTCCCACTCTGGACAAGGAGTGTCCCTCAACCTCTCACTGACTGCAAATCATTCTGGAACCTACTCCTGTGAGGCCGACAATGGCCTGGGTCCCCAGTGCAGTGAGGCAGTGACACTTTCCATCACAGGTAAGTTTCCTATTCTCAGGCCACAGATGTGGCCAAAAGATTTCCTCCTAGGATACTCTGATAATCCTTGTGATGCCTGACAAGGACAGTGTTTCTCAGGGACAGGTACAAAAAGCTAGATGTTCTCCAAACTGTTATTTTCATTAAGTGTTTCTGAAGGCTTGTCATTTGGGTGGGAAAGGGGGCTAAAGAAGACCACCGAATTTAATACTCTTCAGATAGCATCATCCATCCTGACCCTCAATCCTTGCATCAGCCACAGACATGAGCTTCCCCACCAAGAGAAGTTCCATCCCCTGTGCCACACCTGCACCTCATTAGCCTCAGGAGTCCTGGTCCCCTCAGTTCATCCTCTCTCCCAGGCATCAGCTCCAGGGATCAGGGCAGTTCAAGACCACAAGCCTCTCCCTCTGGCTCATGCCTGGGGTCTCCCCCTCAGGGCTGACAGGGAGCAGAAGTGGTCCTGTTGCCACCGGTGTCACCGGGGGGCTGCTCAGCACGATGGGTCTCGCTGCCATAGCACTGTTGTTCTACTGCTGGCTCCCGAGAAAAACAGGTGAGTAACTCCCTGGTTAACCTTTGCTTGAGTCCCTGTGCTTCCCATCTCCATTCCCTCAGGCCCATGCTATCTTTGGAACCAACCCCAAGCTCTCAAAACCTCCTTTCTGCACAATTCCACAGCTCCTACCTTCCCCTCTAGTTCCTCCAGAATTTGTCTTCATCAAATGCAAAGTTTCCAGAACAGCCCTATTGGGTGTAAGATGTCTTCACAAGATGTAGTTTATCTGACATGACAAATTACAGTGTATTTCCCTCTCTACTCTTACAAGACCCCCAAGGAACGGAAGAGGAGAAGAAAAACTCTGAGATATAGGAGTGAGAACAGAAACCAAATGGAATTTGATAACTTACTGATTTTGTAAATGTATGGTACTTTCATAGCCGATCAAGTCTATTTTCCCACATTCAGCTATTGACCATTGTTCTTCACAAACTCCAGGTTAAAAGATTATGGATTGTGGGCTACCCTTTTGTATTATAACTATACCCCTCTGGAAACCAGGATCAGTAGTTTTTGCCCAATGTGCCACCTCCCTTGGACATAGCAAAGGAGGGTTCACATCTTAGAGACAACGACTCCTGGAAGGTTCTAGGTGAGGCTTCTATGAGTTGTGCTCCTTGTGAAGTCTTCCTTCTCCTGGACTCAATGTCTCTCTGCTTTCCTTTGCAGGAAGAAAGCCTACATTTGACTCCTCCAGGTAAGACCTGCCTATATTGACGTATGGTTAATGAAATGCCCACCAAGTATGAAAATGGAATTGAATCTGGTTACTGCTGAGAGCACGGTCACTGCTTCATGTCACTGAGATGGGTTGTTCCAATTTCATGTTGCCACCTCCCTTGGGATATCTCAATTCCCAGGACCTTCTCACCCATCAGCTTAGCTAAGTAGGCCTTTTTCTTGCAAGTGTTAATTGCTTTTTATTTATTAACTTACATCCTTGGTCCAATGTTGCCTTGGTTGTTTGAGTGTTTGAGTGACATTATGACCACTGAATCCATCCGTTTCCTAAGATGGTCTTAGCTTAATCAGCCTGGAAAGCTCTGGTCATGGCCAACCCAACCTAACCAACACCTGTTGTGATGACAGCCAAGAAGATGGATGCAACTTGGCCACCCCGAGAGACCTCTCTGCTAACAGGAGGTGGTGCTTGTGAAGAAGGGGCTGCCTTCTTGGATTTCAAAGGCTGACTTTAGGAGTCACACCACAGCTCACAAACTATCCCTAGGCAAGCTTATGGTAGCAGCATCCAAACCATCCTGAGTTCCTCTGAGCCTTTTTGTTTGTTTTTTGGCCATGCTGCACAGTTGCAGGATCTTAGTTTCCCCACCAGGAATTGAACCCAAGCCCTTCTTAGTGAAAACACCAAGTCCTAACCTCTGAACCACCAAGGAATTCCCATTTGAGCCTTTCTAATTATGGATTTCACTCAGATACTGATCTCTCTGGGAGTGTAGACCTTGGAGCCAGGTTTGAATCTTGGCTCTTTCC